CATACCTAAAAATCTTTCTACATCCTTTGCACACTTTGGTGCAGGCATATTTTTAATTGCTTTTACTTTATTTGGATCTGGTTTTATACCATCACTTGAAAATTCATGACCAACAAAAATTAACTTATTCACTGCCCATTCACACTTGTTTTTATTTAATTTTACATTGTTCTTTTCTAATCTGTATAACACTTCTAATAATCTCATTTTATGTTCCTCATCATTTCTACCTGATACTATTATGTCATCCATATACACCTGTACTCCTTCTATTCCATCTAACAATTGAGAAAAATATTTAAAGAATACCTCTGGAGCAATGTTCAAACCAAAAGGTAGTTTACAAAAACAATACCTACCAAATGATGAATTAAAAGTTGTTTATTTCGCACTATCCTCATCTAAAGAAATTTGATAAAACCCTTTTTTGGCGTCTAACTTACTGAACACTTTGGCTCCACTCATTTTACTAATTATTTCATCATAAGTTGGGAGTGGAAAATATTCCCTTTTTAAATTTTAATTTAGATCCTATAAACATATTCTCAACTCATTATTAGTTTTTTTTATTAGTTTACCCAATCTGTAGGTGTGTTAACTTTCTTTATAATATTCATATTCTCTAACTTACATAATTCTTTCTTTAATTGATCTAACAAAGGAAAAGCAACTTTTCTAGGAGCATGTACTACTGGAATAATGCTATAAATCTTTCATTACTAACTTAAAATTTTCCTTAAAATTACCTATTCCCTCAAATAAATGATTGAATCTTTGTTCAATTTCTTTTAATAGGTCTTTCTGACATATCCTATTACACTCTTGTATTCTATTTATTAGTTTTAATTTAATACAAGACTCTAAACCCAAAATAGGTGAAGCTTTATCACTATCCACAATAAAAAATTCTAAGTTATATAATTTACTCTTATTAGTTATACAATCTAAATTAACTTTACCAAAAGTAACAATATTTGTACCTGAATAATTGATTAATTTTTCTTTGCGTTTCTTTACTGATAATGGAGTAAGACCAGCTAGTTTTAGACTTCTTAACGGTATTACATTTGCCTCTGCTCCAGTGTCCAACTTGAATTTCAGTTTCTTTCCTTTGATTACCAAATCTTCCTCCCATTGAGTTGTTGAACCTTGATTTTTTCCCGGTTGATTTATACTTGAATTGATTTTAATTAGTGACCCTAAGCATAGTTCATTACTACTACAACTGTCTTCTTTGTTAGTTCCCACTGACTTAATATGACTAAATTTGAATTGTTTCTTATTTTTATCACTTATTTGTTTTGCGTTTCTTCCTTTGCACATTTTTGCAAAGTGATTAAACTTATCACATTTGATACACTTCTTTTGATATGCCGGACATTTATTAATCTCATGTGTCTTGCCACATCATTTGCAATTTTCTATGTTCTTTACAAATGAACTTCTGTAATTTTTACTTGATTTTTTAATTCTAAGTATTGCATTTTCCTCTTCTGTCGTGTTAATTACTTTAGATTGTTTCATTGCCGCATTAAAATTTCTTGCCACATCAATTACCTTATCCAATGTTAAATTTGCTTCATTTAATAGTTTTTCTTGAAGTTTTTTATCGTAAACACCAACAACAACACGATCTCTTATTAGTCGGTCTTTCATGTTTCCAAAGTTACAGTTGCTGCTTAGCTTTCTTAAAGCCGCAAGATACTCTTCGAAATTTTCATCTGTTCTTTGGTTCCTGCTATTAAATTGAAATGCTTCCACACATTCATTTATTTTAGGTTCGTAATATTCGTCGAATAATTTTATAATTTCTTCCACACTTTCGAGTTCCTGTCCGCTCACCAATGTCTCATACACGTCCCTGGCTTCTTCGCCTATTATGTGTAGAAATATATTTATTTGTTCAATATGTTTTTTCTTATATATGCCCGCTGCAATGCTGAACACATTAAAATTTTTTTTCCCTCTCGGCCATTCAATTTGTGCTTTATGAATATTAAGTTCTGACTGTGGTTTGAGCCCTTCCATGATCATTTTTGTTTTTTCTTTATTTATAATTAACACAAATAATAAAAGAACAATCCTTTCGACTGCGCCATGTTATAAATTATTTAGAAAATAAGTACACGCAGGTCACATGATTTTCATACTTATACTTTATTTAATGAAACTTATTTAACCTTTAACATGAACATTGATAAACAATGATACAATGATGCCACACATCACGACAGGCATATATTTACAAAATCCATTTATGTAATTTGTTAATTGTTCTTTAACTGCAAGATGTATAATCTTATAGCCTCCTAATAATTTTTCAGCTACATTTTTTTCATCATCTTCGTTTAGAGTAATCATATTTTAAGAGCCAGAAACGTTATTTAAATACATATTTACCGTAATCAAAGTACAAGGAAAACTATTTATTTTATTGTTTATCAAGTCATCTAAAAATATCATAATTACTTTACTGTGTGTTTGGAGTGCCTTGCCATAGTTCATAACTTTTTCTATTGTTATATTATTTTTATTTTTTTCTAATTCTGACAAAAATCTTTCATTTTGGTTAAAGAAGTTTAAAAAATAACGACTATGGGAGCACGTTAAATATTGTATGAAACCACTGAAGCTTACTTGTATGATCATAATTAACATTAATAGTAAATAAATTTTCATTTTGCTACGTATTTATGTAAAATTAATTCTCTTATGATATTAATTTGAAAAAAAATTCACACTAGATAATAAGAGTATTAATTTTTTTTTATTATGAATTTTCTTGTACTATATTTGATTAAAAAAAGTATCTGAAAAAAATAATTTTTATTTAAATATACGAATTTAGATACAGCATATTTATTTAATTGTTCTTCTGGCGTAATTGTTAGATCTATACTAAAATTTATAAATATTAAATTAAAAACTCAAAATAGTATTTACAGCTTTTTTTTTTAACTTTTACTACGTAATATTAGCTTTAATTTAACATATTTAAATAAAATATGTTTAAGAAACACAGTATCTTGGAACATTTTCAATATTAAGTTGAAAAAGTTGAGTTTTGTAAAAAAAGTTGCTATTTTGAATCCCTATTTGTAACACATGATAAAATTAATAACTTCTCAGCTTCGCATCGAAGCTAAAAGTATGTACATTTTGTATTAAAAATTCGGAATTAATCATTTAAATATTGCTTAGCACTGAATATTTCTATACATATATATATATATATGTATAGTGCAATATAGGAAACATAATAATTAATCCAACCAATACTTTTTTTTTTGTATATTCTAGTCTTTGTTATTATTTACAAAACTGTTATCATGTATTTTAAAATATTCAAATAAAATAAGAAATTTCTAAAAAATATAAGTGTGTAAGATATAACATTAAAATTTATAACCAAGAAAACAAAGAAAATAATAAAATTCATATAAATTTGAGGTTTTATTTTATAATTTTTAATACCTAAAAAATCTTTTAAAGAAAAACTAGCCAAAAAGGTAGTAACCATAGTTTTATATTTCATAACACGTTAAATTTTTTATATATGTATCAAAATTATACAATATGAATCTATTGAATCTAAATGAGATAAAAATCAAAGCAGTTGAAATGTATTCTAACTTTTTAAGTTAGAATTAATTTTTTTTAAGAATTAAGAAAAAATGTAAAAAATCTCCTTGCCATACGCTGGTTGGCACCTTGTACCCCAAGCTCGTAAAACACAAGTTTAACCGACCGGCAACCATACATCGCTAATGTCGGCTGAAAAAATTAGCCATTTAAGTTAGTTCAAATTTCAAAATTATTTTCACGACCAAAAAAAAAAGCAAAAAAATTTAAATAAGTTTAAATTTCTATGCTATATTAATTTGATTTGTATTACATTTATGAAAATCAGTGTACTCCCCTTGTCAGGTATTTTAAATTAAAACAAAATAAAAACCCAGAACCTTAATACAAAAATATCATATTTTTGAATACGGTAGTTATTTTCACCATTAAGACAAATCCAGAGGTCAAATTTTTTTTTTTTAAATAAATTATATTACATAAGCTTTAATTTAAGGTATATATCAAAGTGTCAGTCTTTCCGGAACATTTTTAAAAGTTAAGTTGAAAAAGTTAATTTTTTGTAAAAAAGTTACCATTTTGAAACCCTTCCTGTGGGCTGGTAAAGGGTTAAATTTAAGAAAAAAATATACCAAATGATAGGTAAAGATATCAAGCATCTATAAAAAAAAAAATTATATTGATATGATCATTTTTGAAAAATTTATGGCACTTTATAGTAAAAAAAATTGAAAAAATTTCGAAAATTAGCGATTTTTAAAATTGCAATTTTTTTTGAGGTTTTCCCCATTTACGGGAAACAAAGGAAATTTTTTCAATTTTTGAGGGTAATGTCTTAGACTAGATACGATTTGTGATCTTTTGACGTATCGTTGAAAGAAATCCGTTCGGTGAGCAACTTCTACAACATCTAATGTATCCATACTTACTTTTACTTATTGTATACTTTAAAAAATAAAAAAATAATCAGAGCAAATGCTACAATGAGGAATTTCGAATCTGTTATGATTATACTGTAGCTTTTGGCGGGCTAATTTTCTTTGTAAAAACGCGTCAAAACGCTTGTAGTATGCGCATGAACGGCGTTCGCGTTCAAAACGCGTACGCGCGCGATTAAACGCCTAGTGTGTAAGCTACTATATCATTGTTAAACGAATTTATCATTTCAAAATATCACCATCTATACGCTATAAAGTATTAATAGTATATACATTTATATAATCTGTGGTAGAAGTAACATAGATAATGCTATTGTTAACAATCTTTGGCTTGTGTGATATATTGACTATAATAGTATCATTACACTATTTCAACGAATTCTATATTTAGCTGTGGAATACTCATCAGCTCGTTATCAATGTTAATTTGCACCTTCACTACACGGAGAAATAAATCTGTATTTTAGAAGATCTGTTTTTTTTTACTTTTGTGTTAATTTGTTAATAAAATAATGAATTCAAAATTATTTTTTATTTTTGAACTAAAAAATCCTGAAACAGTGGTGACTTCTAATCAAATAATTAGAAGTCATATTACATAAATTATTCTATTGTTGGACTTATTATGTATAGTCTTTTCACTTTTTATATTTTAAAATTTTCTTTCAGACATCCAGTTTGAATATTGCTAATAGTAACGTAACAAATAAATTGGTTATCGTCACTAAAGATAAATAAAATAAACTTACATATGAAATTACTTATATAGGCAACTCGAAATTTGATTTAGATGATTTACAGTCTGGTCCAAAAAGATCCATATTAGAGGTAAATCATGTATAAAACTGACAACATAATATTTACATTGTATGTTAAATATATATTTTAATTGCTATTAAGCCTATTATAGAAACGGTGTACTTATACGAACCTTCGTCATTGGTTATTCGTCATCTTCCCGGCAGTTGTCAGTAGTTGTTACACGAATCAAAGGGATATAAATATTTGGATTTTGTTAGTTACATATGTATCTCTATACGCCTGTTATGAAATAATTTTTAGGTCCATTCTATATATAATATACAGGGGTGTCAAATTTATTTGTTTAAACGGCAGCATACATATTAAACTAGTTTATAATATAAAATATTATCTAATTAAGAAAATAACTATCGACAATAACTTTTGGATCAATACTTTGAAAGTTATTAGAATTTTAAAATATAGTACTGATGGTGAAGCGCAGATACTGCTATTTTTATTATTATTCGTTCTTTGGTCACACTTCTTCTGCCACCTGAGTACAAAAATTAGAATATCTTCCAAAGCACTGGTCTAAAAGTTCTTGTTTTAAATTACAAATACCATTTCCATTAACATAACCATGGCTTCATTTTATGAGGTTAAATATTTTTGTGTATGGTATAATTATTGTTCAAAAATTAACATTTATTATTTGTTTTTTGTATTTATTAGTTATGTGGGTCTAGAGTTCTTGCAAATGTAAAACTAACAAAACTGGATGATCATGCTATTATTATATTACAAAAACTCATTTAACTCTTATTCCAAAATAGACAAGACATTATAACGTAACTGTCAATAAAACTGACACTATTCATACCTAGCTAATAAGTCAATCTAAACTAGAATTTGCCGCTAATAGGTAATGTATGAAAAGTCTAATTGATATGACAATTTTTTGAGTATCCAAAGACTGACTTGACACAATGAAAACAGATCATCATTAAATCAAGGTAGGGAACTAATTTAAATGATCTAATCAAGTAATGAAAACTGTGTAGATAAAATTATTAATTTCTTATTAAATAATTTTTCTTAGGGAATTTCAACAAAACCTGTTTTATTTTCCAAGCTTTCCATGTTTTCTGAAATATTTAACAAAGAAACAAATTACACAAGTCACCATATTCAAAATGAAATAATTGAAATATGTGCAAATAGCGTAAAAGAGTAAATAGTATAATGTGTGATGAAGCAAGGTAATAAATTCAAAAAACAGCATTGATAAAAAAATGTATAATTAATAAACACTAATATTACTATTACATTTTTGCTTTAATTTTAGATTTTATAAAGAAGAACAAATGATTAATATTATTTTGAAACTTATAAATTAAATACTAAAGCTCAAATAATTTCAGAATCCTATAATGGTTAGAATTTCTGTGGAAATATCATGCCTGGAAATTTAATGGAGTCAATCAAGAATAAGAATTGGTATGTTTTATAGAATAAATATTTTGGTTGCAGATAGGTGCAAAATGTTAAAACTAAAAACCAATATTAATAAAATATGTTTGTTTTATTAAAATAATAAAATTTTATTTTGTAATAATTAAAATTTTTTAGGAAACCTTAAGTTTTTTTAACTTGATTAAATGTAAATACATTTCATTTTTCTCATCCCCAAAAAATTATTAATTAGTTGAATTGCATAAAAACTTGGACACAAAAACAAAAACTATTGGCGCATTAGTAATAATAGATGGAATTGTAGATTTAAAAACAGTGAAGCCATTAAACAATGTTTCTAGAGTATTCTTATTGTACTTAAAAGAGAAATAGAAAATGAAACTGATAAAGATGTCAATAAAGCAAAAGGTATAATTTATAAATCACTATTGCTTTTTATCCAATTGATGTACATTTCATGGATAGTTGTTTTGTTAGAAATACTCTCAACAATTACAAAAGGAGACATTTATTATAGTTTAGTTCGTCATGCACAACATCTTGTGTATGATCTTGGCTGTGCTTAATGCAGAGACTGACAATCAAAGTTCCACTGTTTCTAGATAATAAAATGTAAAACTAAAATAATAACTATCCCCTATTGATACATTTATTATTTGTTTTATTATTTATTATTCACAATATTATTTAAATTGATTTTTGCAAACTGGGATGATACTCAAATAATATATTTTCAACAATAATAAATAGTTTTTTTTTAAATTATTTTTTACTTATTTAAAATAAAATACTGTCATAAATTTTACTTTATTTTTTCTCTCAGCATAATGAATAGATATAAAAATACCTTTATATCTTTGAAATCTTATACTAGGAAAGATTAGTGTAATAAAAGTTGGCTGTGAGTGAAATGAGTTACTGGGAATCGTTTCTGTGGTATCAAAAACATATTTTCAACAAAATTCAATAGTTAATATTTTGTATTTTTATAAATATTTTCTTCAGTTTTAAAAATAAATATTGTAAATTTTATTTTATTAATTTTTTTTCTGACACATATTATTTGAAATGTAATGTTTCACATTAACACTAAGCACTCTTTCACAAGTTCTGTCAAAGATAGTTCTTGGCTAAACCAATTATGAATGGGATGGGTATTATCTTTGGTTTGCAACAAAAATCAAACACCACCAATGAGAAAATCACAAAAATAATTTTGTTGGCATTCTGGGGATTAAACTCAGGATCCTGTTCGCCGAAACATTTCTACCCATTAAGCTAGACTGACCCATTTAAAGAGTACAAGTTAGTGAATATTCAATATTATAATTGTTTTTAATTTTTGTAATTTTAAAAAACAAAATAGTGAAATAGATTTATAATTAAATATATTTAAGTCTTTTATTCTAAAGCTGATAAAGAGTTATTCTTTATTTTTTATATAATTTTTGTACAGAGAATCTGTATATTTAATGTATAGAATTTTTTTTACCATACATGTTTAGTAAGAAAGAAAGCTAAACATGTAATTCGTTTATTGTTTTTATTTTATAACTCTGTAAACAACATCGATAATGAAATACATAGATCAGTAAACGTTTAATAATGCTAATTATATAAATGCTGTTTCTGCTAAAAAATATAAATAACTTTAAAGTAATTAATACTGGCTAATTGTTAATGTTAATAGTTGTTATAATAGTAAAGTATTTTTGATAATTCAAAGTTAAAATTACCATGGAAACAAATACACATAGACATTTTCTTAGTAAATTTGAGTTTTTTAATACTTCGTGTTTAACTGAAATTTCTATGTTCGTGTTTATTATAATAATACTGAATAATTAAATTTGTTTTTATTATTTATCTTCTAAACATTAACTGTATTTACAAGTAATCAATGTGTTATGGGAAATTATTTTATGCTATATACAGTGATGCAATTTCTTTTAGAAATCGAATACAATTTTCAATAATAACACAATGCAGTAAGATGAACATTACTTGTAGTTGAGCTTTCAGACTAATGCCAGTCATAAAATATATTTATTAAAATATTAATTTGACACGTATGAAATTTCAATAATAACCAACAACAGAAATTTATCAAGGTAATTTTTACATTTTATTAATTAAACATTTTCCAGACAAATATATAACATTCTATTTATGTAAATTTACA